GAAGTTCACTGGGCAGCCTTGGTTAAATCCATCACCACTCTGACCCTCAGGTTCCTCATCAGCAAAATGAGGACAATCATAGTGGTGCTGTGAGGGTGAAAGAAAACACTACATGGAAAGTGCTTTGGAAAACCTTTGGCACGGGGCTGCACACAGAGCTGTGGTCTCTGGAGATGACGCTGCATTAGTATTAATTCACACAGCAGTTACACCACTGCTTCTCAAAGGGGAATGAACTGGGACAGATCAAGCAGGCTTGATGTAGAAAGAGGCAGAATCAATCCCTCCAGTGAAAGAGGGAGAAGGCCTATGTTCAGAACTTCTCACAGAATTGCTGAACCCCATTTCAGATAGTTGTTTACTCTCTGTTTGCTCCATCATAGGGTGGTTTTTCTTTATTTTTATTTTTTAGGGTGGTTTTTTTTTTATTAATTTTTATTGGACTATGGTTGCTTTACAATGTTGTGTTAGCCTCCACCGCACAACAAAATGAATCAGCCAGACACATACAGATATCCCCTCCCTTTTGGACTTCCCTCCCGTTTAGGTTACCACAGTGCATTAGGTAGAGTTCCCTGTGCTGTACAGTATGTTCCCATCGGTTGTCTATTTTATACATAGTAACAATAATGTATATGTGTCAGTCCCAGTCTCCCAATTCCTCCCACTCCACCCCTTTCCCCCTTGGTATCCATATATTTGTTCTCTACCTCTGTGTCTCTATTTCTGCTTTGCAAATAAGATCGTCTATACCATTTTTCTAGATTCCACATATATGCGTTATTATACAATATTTGCTTTTCTCTTTCTGACTTACTTCACTCTGTATGACACTCTCTAGGTCCATCCACGTCTCTACAAATGATTAGGATGTTGTTTGTTTGTTTAATTCCCCTGCAACTCTTGTCCATGTACCAGAGAGCTCAGAGATCCTTTCATGGAAGCCAGACCCAGTTGAGTAGCTGCCAACCTTCCTCCCAAAGGATAGAGGACAGAAAGACAGGCTGTTAGATGTCGCCTGTGCTGGAGATCAGTGAGGCTGTCCTCAGCATCTAAATCTGGATAAGCAGCTTAATTTTATCTCTCCCTGCACCGATGCATCTTGCCTTAGGGAGCCAAGCATCCTGGGAGAGAATAAGTGATGGGGAGACTCTGCCCTTTTGTGTTTCCTTTTGCTCCTGCATATGTGCTATCTTTGCCTCAAAATTGTGCCAGCCTGGGTTGCTTTGATGCCTTACATCTTTGCGATAACATCTCATGCTGAGAGATCTAGGAGCAATAGGGAACAAGAAAGTGGGCAGAAAAAGAAGCCTCGATAGTTCTGATGGGTGAGGAGGGTTGCCAGAGTGGCCTGCAGTTTAGATACCCTTTCAAGGCAGATCAGAGTTGCACTCCTCTCTCCCCATAGCCGTCCGCCTTATCTAGTGTCTGGCATTCCCCAGAACCACGTACAGCAATTGGGCTCATGAATCTACACTAGAGTCTCAAATCTAAATGCCTCCTCAGGCAAGGTCAGTAGAATACACTTGTGAAGGGCATCAATAGGGAATAGTGAGGACTGTGGCAAACAGAGCATATGTCTTATCTAAAGGGGGCAGCCACCCCATGGCTGCCTCCAGTGGGCCCAGTGTTACTAGAGCTTCTGATTTTTTTCAAGAGAAAATAGAAATATGATGTGTGTGAGTGAGAGAGAGAAATGTCCCAATTTTTTTTATTGAAGTATAGTTGATTTACAATGTTGTTAGCTTCTGATGTACAGCAAAGTGATTCAGTTATACACATATATGTATATATATTCTTTTTCAATTCTTTTCCATTATGTATAGTAGTTTGTATCTGCTAATCCCAAACCCCTAATTTATCTCTCCCCACCCCACTTTCCCCTTTGGTAACCATAGTTTGTTTTCTATGTCTGTGAGTCTGTTTCTGCCTTGTAAATAAGTTCATTTGTATCATATTTTAGACTCCACATGTAAGTGATACCACATAGTTATCTTTGTCTGTCTGACTTACTTCACTTAGTATGATAATCTCTAGGTCCATCCATATTGCTGCAAATGGCATTATTTCATTCTTTTTATAACTGAGTAATATTACATTTTATATATATATATTTCTAGCTGAGTAATATTACATTTTATATATATATACATTTTATATATTTTTATATAAATATATATACATTTTATATATTTTTATATAAATATATATACTTTATATATATACACATTTTATAATATATTACTCAGCTTTTTATAGCTGAGTAATATTACATTTTATATATATATGTGTGTATGTGTATGTGTGTGTGTATATATATATATATGAACATACCACATCTTCTTCATCCATTCATCTGTCGATGGACACTTAGGTTGCTTCCGTGTCTTAGCTGTTGTAAATAGTGCTGCTATGAATATTGGGGTGCATGTATCTTTTCGGATTAGCGTTTTCTCCAGATATACGCCCAGGAGTGGATCATATGGTGACTCTTTTTTTAGGTTTTTAAGGAACCTCCATACTGTTCTCCATAGTGGCTGCACCAATGTTACATTCCCACCAACAGTGTAGGAGGGTTCCCTTTTCTCCACACCCTCTCCAGCATTTGTTATTTGTAGACTTTTTAATGATGGCCATTCTGACTGATGTGAGGTGATACCTCATTATAGTTTTTTCCCAGTTTTTAACACGCTGGGAGGGCTGAATGAACAGAGTTGCATGTGGGATGTTGCAAGATGCTGCAGGGAGGATTCTATCCTCAGGTCATGAGATTGGCATTTCTGACCTGGTCTCTTTACTGATAATTCGGTATTTCCTAGCAAGATGATGCCCTCAAAAGGCCCTGAACATCAAGCTTTGGAACAAATCATCTACCGCATACTTTATCTTTCTTTTTAAACAAGGGGACCAAAAAATGTGTGTGTGTGAAGGGTTCATTCCCGACCTGTGGCGACTTAGCCCTGTTGGATCCTCTCGCTATTCTCCATGTTTCTCTGTTCCATAGCAACCTCCTTGAAATACCCCCCAAAGAGAGTGATTTTGACTAAAATTTAATATACAAAGCACAGTAAATTCTTGGGGGAAATTGCTACAGAGGGGATAGACAGATGGGTGGGGTAGATGAGACATTCAAAAAGAAGCAACTAAACCCTCCAGAGACCTAGAGTACCATAACTGCATCCAGCATGCGCCTTGGAAACGTGTAACCTGGAACAAGCCCACCAATCTCTCAGCCTCAGTTTCCTCAACTGTAACGTGCAAGGCTGGCTCTGCCCATCTGCCCAGGTTACTGTGAGAATAAAAGGCTGTCAGGAAAGCACGCTGGAAAACAGGAAATGTATTCTAGCAACGTGAGTTTTTTTTGCCACTGGGAAGCAGGAGGACATCTGTCTGAACCCTTGGGACCCTGACCGTTATTAGCCAGATTAAACGTCAGTTCTTCTTCCTCTTGTCACTGCCACAGCTGCCTGCCTCACAGGACGGGCCTGCAGCAAGGGAGTGGGGACATGGGTCATTGAGCTCCCATGGCAGCCCCTCCGTTACCAGCTCCAATCCCCTGGACCCTGGCATCAAGAGCCTCCAGAGGCAAGCCAGCCATGATGCATCCCATGGGTCCCTCCCCGTGAGCCAGCGTTGAAAAGAGAAATTTTAAAAATTCCAGCTTTTTGCGGGTTAGTTTATTAACCCCCTCACTTGCTTTCAAGAGTGGGTGAGCAATGATTTTACATGAGGTTCAAGGGCACAGCTAGTCAGTCTAGGATCATAAAGGACATTTGTAGGACCCAAAGTGCTTGCCTTGCCAGCCCCATTCTGGAAAACACTTCCATCACCTAGGATGGACCAGCATTTCACCAGAAACTCAGCTTCCTTTTATGCCTTTTTTTTTTCTTTTTTTGGTTTTGGTTGGCCGGGGCGGGTCTGAAGAACTAAAACCATAGCAGAACGGGGTCCCTCGTGGATAGGAAGGCTGACCCTGGGGGATAGGTGTCACCTTAGAGGAGAGTGACCCCCTGGATTTGCACATGGAGTTGAGTGTATTTCTTAATAAATGCTTGTGCTAAGCACTAGGAATAAAGGGAGGAATAAAATAATGTCATTTGTACCATAATAGAACTTACCGTCTTGGGTGGGAGGCAAATGATAAACAAGAAAACAAACAAGTATCCTCTAACCATGAATTGAGAGAAATGCTACAAAGGAAATAAATAGGGGGCTATGAGAGGCAATAGTAGGGGTTGTACTGGAGATGAGGGGGTCAGGGCAGGCCTCTCTGAGGAGCTGACGTTTGGGCTCAGATACAGAGGAGGAGAAGGAATCACGTTATGAAAGGGATAAAGAGCGTGTTCAGAACATGCGTGGTGTATTTGCGGAATCACGCGGGACTCCGTCCATGTGTGTGTGTGTGTTTCTGTGTGTGTGTGAGAGAGAGAAAGGATGTGTATGTGTGTGTGTGTTTATGTGTGAGAGAGAGAGAAAGGATGTGTATGTGTGTGTGTGTTTATGTGTGTGAGAGAGAGAAAGGATGTGTATGTGTGTGCACACATGCCCACCCACGGCTGTATTTTTTCTGGGACGATGACCTATAACTTTCATCAGTTTTCCAACGGGATCAGTGATCCAAAAGAACTCTAAGGAATTTTCTGAATCAAAATCACCCTTCGTCAATCAGCTAAAGCATCCAAATAATTGTGCCAAACGATTTTTTTTTTTTTTGAGTCCTGGAAGCTCTGCATGCTAAAGCAGAAAGTGGAGCGCACAGGGTGGCGTTTCGGGTCTCCCTCCGAGAGCACGGGTGCAGGGCAAGTCCCCAAGTGATCGGTGTGCGACACAGCATCCGTGGTGACCGGGTGCAGGAGTGCCTGGACGTGTCCGGAGGTTCGGTGGCCACAGGCATGCAAGTCCCTCTCTTTCTCTGCTGAGGGCCGGAGCCCCTGCTGTAAGGAGAGCACTGCGGGTCATCACGAGGATTAGTGAGTCACCAGCCTCTCTCCTGCCCGCAGGCTCCTCAATGCCAACAAGATCAACTGCCTGCGGGTGAACACGTTTCAGGACCTGCAGAACCTCAACCTGCTCTCCCTGTACGACAACAAGCTTCAGACCATCAGCAAGGGGCTCTTTGCCCCTCTGCAGGCCATCCAGACGCTGTGAGTATGCCCCCTCGAGTGCCAGCGCGTGCCCAGGCAGCCGGCAACCCCAAACACGTAGTCGCAGAGAACACTCAAAATGAAGGCAGAGTGAGCACGTCCAGGAGGAATCCTGGAGCCCGCAGCAAGAACGGGATATTAATAATAGCACTAGCTTGGGACCTCCCTGGCGGTCCAGTGGTTAAGGATCTGCGCTTTTAATGCAGGGGGCGTGGGTTTGATCCCTGCTCAGGGAACTACCATTTCCACATGCTGCATGGCTTGCCCAAGAAAAAAACAATTTTAAAAATAATCATAATAGGGCTAGCTCACTAATCACTCACACCGTGCTCCGCGCCCCACTGGGTGATTTCCCTGTATCCAAACAGTTACGCCTCACAACAGCCCTAGGAGGTGGGTGCTTTTGTGATCCCCTATTTCTATGTGAGGACACCAGAGGCACGGAGAAGTTCAGTAACTTATTCAAGGTTGCACAGCTAGGAAGAAGCAGGATCTGAAGCCAGGCCGAGTGGCTGCTCACCTGCTCTTTTAACCACGGTGGCCACTGTATTCTGAGCAGGCTCCATCTCTGCTGATAACCCGTTCCTGCCCACCAACACCCACAAAACCAAGCCTCTGGTCCAGGCACACTGTACCAGAACACGGGAGTATTTCAACACCCTCGTTAGGGAACAGTTCCTCGCTCCCAAGCACTGCAGACGTTCATAAGTAGTTCCGTTAGATAGATGACACCTGAGTGCAGATCTCAGCCTGTGTTTTGGATGGCTCCACCCCTCAGCTTAGACCCTAGCTCCAGCCCCGGGCCTGACCATGAGCCTGGGGGCTTCTGGAGCCCTCCTGAGTCATCTGGCACTTACTGCCCCTGTAGCCAGAGATGGGAGCCAGTAAAGGGTAAGAGCAGCTGCTACACATTGAACCCCGACCACGTGCTGAGCGCTGAGTGTGGTGCTTTGGCCAGTTTTCTCACTGAGCCGGGGGAAGCCAGGCCCATGGTGTTGTTGCCCTTGTGATGCTGAGGATGGTAAGAACAAAACCCGCTACTATAAATGGAACACCCACCCTGTGCCCGACACCATGCCAGCTGCTTTATGCACCGGGTGTTCCTGAGCTTGGAGAAATAAAATTCAGTCTGCTCTCAGCATAAACCCTAAGCCTGCAACTTTCATTGCCCTTCAAAATTGGCGTGGGTGAGATTGGAGACGATCAGGGGTGGGTCCTGACCCGGGTGGGGAGAGTAAGGAAGGCTGATTCCCCAGGCGGGATGCCAGCTGCCCCTGTGACTGTCTTTTGCAGACAGCAGACCTCAGGCCCCCTCTCCGGGTCTTGTCTGAGAGCACCTCCCCGAGGCCTCCTGGGGTGATGAAGGAGGGAGCCTGGCACCAGAGCCTAGCAGCAGGCAGGGGGGTGGCGGAACGTGGCACCAGGGGTCCCATCTGATTAACTCCCGTCCCTCTCGCAGCCACTTAGCCCAAAACCCATTTGTGTGCGACTGCCACTTGAAGTGGCTGGCCGACTACCTCCAGGACAACCCCATCGAGACCAGCGGGGCCCGCTGCAGCAGCCCGCGCCGGCTGGCCAACAAGCGCATCGGCCAGATCAAGAGCAAGAAGTTCCGCTGCTCAGGTAATCAGCTTATGGGGCAGGGCCCCACCTTCCGACTCCAAGTACAGCAGCCCCGGAGAGGCCAGTAATCCAATCTGGAGGACAGCGCGCGCTGTAACGGCTCCTGGGGATCATCTTTGCAAATTAAATTGGGGAAATTCAGTTAGCCCTGCAGAAAACCAATTAGCTTATGGATTTAAAATAAAACACGCACACACAATAAAAGCATTGTGGGGAGGAAGGCGGGTGATTTGGGGAGAGACAGAACCCAGGCAGCAGCACAGCTCCCGAGCTAGGTGGAAATGAGGGGATGAGGCAGCCTGGACACATGCGATCTTGAGAGGCCGTGATTGATTTATTTCGTATTGTTAGTTTCCAAATCACGCTCCCCAAGTGGCAGATAGAGAAATAAATATACCCCAGGCCAGGCTGCAGGAAGCATGGAGCCTTGGGGGCCTCCTCTCCCCCTCTATGGCCACCTTCGGTACAGCCCTTGGACCACAGTGTATTCTAGGTTTCACAGACATTTTTGCTGTCTCCTCCACCCCAGATGGGTGCCTTCTGATCATGGAGAGAACAGCAAAGAGTGTTGCTCAGAAAGAAAGCAAAGCCTTGCTCTCTAGTTCCCAAGCTCTCTCCAGAAACCTTCCTCCCTACCGCACCCAGAAATGAAATGGGGAGGGGGCTTGGTGAATGGCAGGGGAATTCTCAGCTCATCTTGGAAAGAGAACTTGCTTTCCTTGACGCAAGAGCTGTTGTTTGCTACTGGAAAAAAATCACCAAGCTGCTTTGTGCTCCCAATGGTGAGACGTTGATAGTATGATGTAGTGAGATGGGGTGAAGCCAACCCTCACAATCTGTGTGTCAGCAGGAACTGTTCTTCTCTCCCTGCCCGTAGCATCTTGTGTAGGTGGGTTTTCCTGGGGAGAAGGCTAGTGTCGGCCCTAGTCGCCGGGAGAAGACCGGCAGACAGACCTCCGCTTCTTTCACGTTGTTCTTGACCTCAAAGTCGGATTCTTCAGTCCATGCCTCCAGAATGATCAGCCTGAGCTGTTTTATTTTTTTCACCGGAAGCAAATACCTTGAGAGGGCTTGGAGGGACCCCAGGGACTTTGCGGCAGTCTGAGACATTGATCTCAATTTGCCTTCCCCGGAATAACAATGTCGGTTACAAGAGCAGCTCCTTGCCGCCGATGAGCACTGTGCTCAGGGCTTCTAGTTTGACTCGGTTTTTCCAATAGTCCTGTGAGACGAGCAGGAGAGGTCCCCTTGCTGCAGCAGAGGGAGCTGAGGGCTCAGAGGTGAGGGGGCACCCCATGGTCACAGCAAGCAAACAGTAAAGGCAGGCTCGGACCCCAGGTCTGGCTCACTCCTCAACACCACGCGGCATGTAGGAGAGAAGGGCCATTGGGGAAGGAGGTCCAGCTGCTTGGATGACTTCCTTCCCCAGCCTCATGGCCCCGCCCCCAACCTCAGGCCCTGAACTCTTTCCTTAAGTTCCCTCTTGGGGCCGCAGCATCTCAGGGAGGAAAATGCTCTCCCAGCCCAGAGCTGTGCCCTGAGGCACAACCGTCTTGTGCCCGGGGCCCTTTCCTCATGACTTACACCTCTTGTTCCTTCTGCCTCCTCTCTTCCTACCCATGTCTGGCTGGGGCTGAGTTAATGACCTCTAACAGCAGTTGTGCCCAAGAAGAGGGGAGATAAGAGGCCGAGGAGGGCAGGGTGCCGTCTGCCAACCCTGATCCCTCAGTCTGGAGGCTGGTGGTGGGGTGGTCCCATCATGATCTCTAGATCCCGATTGATGCCAAGGCCGTGGGGCATAGGGTGGGGATGGAATCAGCCCAGGGATCAGCCATTGCCTCGGAATGACTGTAGGCTGGGTTTGGGGATGGGGTACAGACAGAAGTAAGTAGGAGAAAGAGGAAAACAGCCAGTAGACCTAGAAACAGTAGAGCTTAGCTCTAGCTCTAGATCTGCCACTACCTACCTATCTTTGCACTGGAGGAACCCTGGCTTCTTTTCCTATGTGGGGTAGGAATGATTTTCCTGATATTTTAAAAAGACACAAATAAGGAAGAGGGACAGGGTTTCTTGACTGACCCTGTCTAAAAAAATTTTTAGACATCAATACTAAACAGAAAGATTATTCCTATAAAGGTAGAGAAAGTTAGAGCCGTGATGATCCTAACATATAACATTCTATATGCTCTTATTTTATGTAGCTACAGACAAGAGAGGTCAAGAGAGCTAGCTACTGGTGCACTCCAAAGGCCTTGGCTTTGAGAGGCACTGGGGCCCAGACCTGCTTAGCATTGAGGGATGCAGAAGCCATATCTCTAAAGCTCTCTGTTTCCAGGAAGCTCAAGAAGAAAGAAGGAGGGGCAGGTGACACGTACTGGATTTGACAGATAATAAGTCTGCTTTTTACTTTCCCCTAAAAGCACTCCCATTGCAAAGACAGCTGATGTAATTAGGAGCCAATTTGAGGGCTGCTCTTGCAACGCATAGAGCTCCTCCTTAGGCTGGGCATCTGGCTTCCCAGCTGCACTGTGTCTGCCTCTATCAGCTGTATCCGCTGCCCTGGGCAGCAAGATCGGGTTAGAGGTGAATGCTGCCGGCTGGGGTAATCTGACCATCAGATTAAGGCCTCCTCAGAAGGCACCATCTGGCTGCCTGAGACCCCAAGCCCGTCCTCGGGGGAGCCCTCGGCGGTTGCAAAATGCTGTCTGCCTTCCGTCATGCCTCCCCCACTGTGTGTGTGGAGATCCAGTTGGCGAGAAGAAACGAGTGGCGAAGAGTACAGAGCGGTGTAACCCCTGTCCTCATCTGTACAAAGATGGCAAAGAGTAAGACACCTCTCAGGGAATCACAAAACTTTAGAGCCCCCAGAGATTACCCAGTCCATGCTAGAGAGGAAGAAAATGAGGTTCACACAGCAGGAAGTCTTATCTAAGATTATAGAGTGGTATTTTCAGGACAAGATGTGTAACCCAGGACTTCTGATATACTGAGAAGTTTCTTGATAACTTTCTCCTGGCCCCCTCCATTTCTTTCTGTTGAAGGAAACCAAACAGAAGGAGGGGAATTTTAAAGCTTGGGGACAGGGGCATGAAAGGGCTGGATTTTCCCTGCACTGGTGCTGAGGACCTGATCCAACTTGAATACGAAATCCCCAAACCAGAGTGTTCGCAGAGCCCTGCCTGTCCGGAGGCGCTCAAAGCAGAGTGGAGTCTAAATTATAGTGGCCAGCTCTAGCTGGTCGGATGGGAGGGCTTAGCAAGAGGTGGAGCCAGATCCGGAGCTGTGGAGTGACTTGGACTAACCAGTCAGTCGTCACAGATAACCTATACACGTCGATATGCTATCACCACCTTGCCCCAAAAACACACTGTGGAGGAACGGTGACCCCGTCGCTCCTGTCAGAGGGCAGGGCAGTGAGGGTCCCAGTCTGGTCTCTTCAAGATGCCCTGACTCTGGTCTCTTCAAGATGCACACATCTCTTCATGGCTTGGGTGGAAATTCATAAAAACGGCCGCTGACCTTTTGCAGATAAGGGTGTAAAGGCTGGGCACCCTCCCCGGACCCATGGCATCAAGAACAACCGGTTGTTGGTCTCCCCAGCCCGCTCCATGATTTACAGTCATGGCGGAAGTCAGGAAGGACCCTAGAATCCGGTATCTTCCACTTTCTTTGCTTTTCTTAGTTTGAAAGAACCTCCTTGTCATGATCATTGTGACTGTGGGTTTCTCAGTCCCAAACCCAGGGCCCTGGGGCTTCCCCAGCTTTCTCCCTGCTAGGAACATGGATTTTCTCTCAATGTCACAGCCCTTCTCTACTATACCTTGATTGATCTGTGAGGAACATCTGTCAGCCAGGGGTTTCTGGGGGCCTTGAAGGATACTGAGGAGACATCAGAGGGACTTTTTCTAAAGAAGAGCATTGCAGCTTTGCTAGACCCCTAGGAACCATGACCTGTCTCTTTACTGAAGGCGCCGGGGGAACAGCCTGTCCTGGAACCACTCTGCTATGGGATGGGCCCTAGGCAGCAGAGAATGCAGAAGATGCTTCTGCTAAGTTGGACGTCTTGGCACATCTAACGGTGTGATTGAATGGGGTTCAGAGGCTAGTTCAGGCCTGTGAAACGATCCCAGACATTTGTGGTCATAATTCCCCTTGGGAAGGATCTGTTCTACCCTGATACTCCTGAGTAGGGATGTCCAGTGGCCTCCCACCCGTTCTTCTCCCTTCCTCCTGTGTCTCCCCGGGGGCGGGGTGTGAAGGGCGGTAGGGCTCCCGTCTCCGGACGTGTTCCTGTGGAACCCCGCTCTCGGTACTAATCACGCTCAGTGGGGGCCTGCTCCGGCTTCCGCTTCTCCACGCTGCTTCCTCTGAGCGCTCCTGTCCTCTCTCTGACGCTGCTTCCTGACCTTGACTCTGACCAGTCGCCGTGGGGCTTTCCTTTGTGCTTGATCTAACCATGTGGTGGAACGATGGAAACGGAACATGGTTCTGTCAAGCACCGCGGAAAGCACCGCGCTCTCCTGCAGCATGGCCCGCCACCGCTGGACACCTCTTCTCTGCCCTGGAGCACCGCAGCCCGCCACCCGCCAGGCCCGCCTCTCTCGGTCCAGCCTCACGAAGGGTCGGGGGGTGGGAGTCTCGAAGGATTCACAGAGCACCTCCAACTCCAGGTAGCAGATCTGGGCTGAAATAGGGATGGGGCAGCATACGGGGGACAATCTGAGATCTGCGTCCACGTCTCTATCCCAGATGGAGTTGCCATCCCCCAAATCTAGTCTGGATGCCAGCCAAGTGGTAAAGTAGCTAGGTCTAGCTCAGACACCACTGTTTTTCTTCTTGAAGAGAGCACGTATGCCCAAGGCGTATGCCCTTTGTTTCATGGAAGAGTCCCAGCCCAAGGTCATTTTCCCACGTGGCAGTTAACGCAAAGCTCACACTGCTGGTACCCACCCTCCACCTACCGTCTTTATTGGAAGCATTAGGACTTAATGTGAGCATGAGAATGATGAAACTGCCATGAGTCTGAGACACTGGATGTAACCTGAGGCTCCTTCTGGAACTGACCCCCTCTCCTCACAAGTACTTTGGTCCCCGTGCAGCCTAAAGTCCAAGCTGTCTCCTTGACCTTCCAAGCACAGCTAACATGAGGCGAAAGTGCTGGGCTCCTCAGCGGTGCTAGCTCCGTGCCATGTGGGGTCTGTGCGGAAGCCCACTGCCTCTGATAATAAAGAGAGGGGTGTCTCGGCACCTCCCGTGCTGCTTATTTCTTGATAAATCCTAGACCCAGTGTCACCGGAAGATTGTGCTGTTGGTTCATGCCGTGGAATGTGTGTGCTGTCCCATATGAGAGAGGGCCCTGGCTTGAGCCAGGAGCCGGGCTCTGGGCTTCCATGGCGATGTGTGACTCTCACTGTCTCCTCTCTCTCGGGTTACCCCTCAGAGCCAGGGCCCCAGCCATTGCTGAGGAATGGAAAGTCCTGTTTACCTCTCTGAATTCTTTTCTCACGTGCTTACTATAGACCGGGTGCTGAGCTAGTTTACATCATTACCTTGTTTAATTTTCACAACAACCCTATAAGTCCCATTCTGCAGATGAGAACATTGAGGCTCAGAGAGGCCAGCTAACTTGCCCAGGGTCAATGGACTCCAGCATGGCTGCCCTTTACGACTGTACTCCTCAGCTTTCCCAGCTGCGGACAGGCCCCTGGCCTTGAGTTATGAAATCAGAAAGACCTTGACTTGACTCGATAGGGAGTTGAAAAAAATAACACTCCCTTTCAAACTTCCTTCTGTTAATAGGAAAAGACTTGAGCAAGCATCCCTGTTTACATGGCTCCTCCCCTCCAGCATGAATATACCAAGACCCATTTGGTACAGAACAAGTCCTCGGGCCTAGAGAAATTTTCTTTCCCTCTGGACAGAGAGGGCGTTCTGAGTTCCTCGGCACTGCCGCCACCGTGCCAGGGCCAGGCCTTCGGGAGCGGGTCCACAGGGTGCCTTTCCACGGGTGCCTCCCTGGTCCTCCGGCAGCTGGCTGTGACCAGGCAGTGACCGGCTGCAGGCCATGGCCATTTCCCTCTGCTTCCAGGCAGATAGCTGCATTCATGTTAGACTCTGACAGGGAGAACTTACTAGGACAGCTGCCTGCCCAACCAGTCTCCAAATTCCTGGTAAACAATTGGTGTTTTCCAGCCAACTGGTGTCTGGTCACCTGGCCTTTGCCGACGAGTGGATAACTGTGAACCTAGCAATGTTCTCTTGATTCCATTCATGACCTATAACCTTTGCTTGTCCTTTCAAGCTGAAGAGCCCCGGCAGGCCTCCTACTCCCCCCGCAGTTCCTCTTTCTGCTCCTTTCCTCCTTCTTTCATCCCGCCCACCTTAGGGGTATTGGAGGTAGAAGAGGAGAACTCTGGACACGTGCGTTGGCAGGTCCTTGGTGCTCTGATAACCGTGCATCTGTGACTTCCATTAAACAAACTGGTTGCCCAGAGGATGATGCAAAATGCAGACTGCTAGTGACAGCAGCCATCCTGGGCCCAGCGCTGGCCTCTGCAGCCAAGTCCATCCAAAGGATGGGAGCTTTGACTCCCCACCTGCCCCAAGCCCCTGACCATCCAAACATTACATACATCCTCTCCTGGGAAGTGGCGGCAGGGCAGGGATTCATAATAAAACCGCATTGCTGTGGATTTCCACTCCCCTGGTCTATTGAAGTTTCTCTGCGCTCACGTCCCAAGTGTCGTCGTTCTGAGCTGCCCACCAAGGAGGAGGAGGGCTACGGGGGCAGGAGCAGGGGAGATGCCAGGTGACATCAGCTCTCCCAAGACCCATTTCAGCCGGCGTCTAGTTTTATGGCCCTTGTTCAAATCCTCCGAGATCTCTCCTGTCTGAACTCCCCTAAAGAGAAGAAGCAACGGCCTATTTCAGTTACTTCTCTCCTACTAAGTATTTCTGGCAGTGACAAATATGCATTGAGATTGAAATTGACTTTTAAAGCTCTGGAAAAGTTAAAAATACTTTGGGGTAGTTATGAGCATTAGGCATAACAAATGGCTCCGAGAAACCCTGAGTAGTTTGGGTAATGAAATAGGAAGTGATGGAGCCTGGCATCTCAGGCTGGCTCCGACTGGGGAACGCACCCTTTCAGTGTTGTACGTACGCCGTTATTAACATTTCTGGCCCCACTCATGTAAAATACCAAACTCCGACCCCCTCGTTATTACAAACCAGGGCAATAACAAAAACAGCAGGGGGAAAAATGTTGGAAAGAACACATTAGTCCATCGAATCTAATTGCAAAATCATTTCATTAAAATGAGTCAGCGGCTCCATTGCACAGGTCGGCCAGTTATAATCTAAGTATACTACAGAGAGCGATTGCTGCTAACTACAGACGCTCTCACCTTGATTGAAACGAAAACGCATTTAATCGGCGGCTGTCCCCAGCCGCAGCCCAGCCGGTGCACGTCTTCAGGCTCATCGTGTTAGCGAGCAAACTGTGCTCCCTCCTGTCTTTCTGGCTTTGATCACTCAGGGTTCCTCCGCTTTGCAAGGATCCCATCCTAGACGCCTTCTCAAAGGAAAAATACGTGCATATGTACGCAAAGCCCCTTCACACCGTCACCGTGGGGAACCGCCGTGGGGAATGAGAGAGGGTTGTCATCTAGCAGGGTTTGCACGATGAAATTCATCCAGGACTCAGCACGCTGATGCGTCGGCGGGTGGGGGGCCGGAAACAGCCCAGGTCAGAGTCATTCAGTGGGACGGATGCTGACAAGCCAAGGGCAAGGAATTTGCATAACGCACTGGACGAGGGAGCCGCCCAGAACACCTGGGATACCTGCTTGGATTTTGCTCACACAAGCCTGCGGGTGGAAAGTGAGATGGAGGAGGGGAATGGGGAAGGAGCAAAGAGGAAAGAGACAGGTCCAGGCCTTGACCTTCTGTTTTAGGTGGATGATGTCACTTCAGAATCAGAGACCCACCGAGTCCCTCCCCAATCAGACATTACCACGGGGAGAAAACGTGAGGAGTGAGAAACCAAGAGGGCCGTGGAGACATCTGCTTCCTGTCTCCCTGCAGCCCACTGAGGGAAAATGCCGTTCAGTTCACCTCCACCAACTTGACTTTATGATCATTCCTAGGTCTGGGATTAAGGTTTTGTCCAAAAGCACATCTGCAGTAAAGCAAAGTATTAGTCACATGGGCCCTGGCAGCAGCCTGCCTGGGTTCGTTTCTCTACCACGTCCTGAGTGACCTGCAGGCCTCAGTTTCCTCATCAATAACATGGAGTCATAATAGCCTCAGAGTGTTGTGAAGGTTTAACGGGCTCACCCATTTGAAGTTCAAAGAACAGTGCCCTGCTTGTGGTCCACGCTCAGTACACATCAGCTATCGTCACTCACTACGCCAATGTTTTAACGGCTTCTGACATGCCAAGGGTTCCACCAGGTGCCCCAAAAAATTGAATCACAAACATCTGTACAACTCTTGACCCTTTTCCAGAGGCTCTCCACCACCTTGATCTTCCTCAAATCTTCACAGCCCCTGTGAGATAGGGGCAATGTATGTGATTCCCGTTTTACACATGGAGAGATTGAGGCTAGTAAGTGGCAAAGCCTGGGCAAATCCACGCCTTCTATTGCTAAAACCTCTGTACTGCAGATGCCCCGTTCTGCTCCTAATACACATAAGATGGCCAAGGTCCACCTCAACTAGCCAGGCAAACAAATGACCTTCACGTTCTCTGCAACACTGCAGAAATACGCACGTGTGGAACAATTTATGTGCTAAGGACACCCCATTTATGCACTGGACAGATGTGAGCCAAGCTCTCGTGCCCGGCATTGTGCCGAAGAACCGCTGAGGGTGAAAATAAAAGAGACCCGACCCCCGTCAACTAGCTCGTGTCTGATAGGAGAACCAGAGCTTCCCTTTTATTTCGGGCAAGGTTTGTGGTCTCACAGAGGTTCGCCCAGGTGCCAGGGGATCATTTCTGATCATTAAAGCAGCTCCTCGGGGCGTCTCTCAAGACGGCACATCATTGGTCCTGTTACCATTACTGTGTACGTAACCTCCAGAAAAATTCGATTTCAGACATTAATCTTAGCTCCAGCTCCCTTTAGCTCATTGGAACTGGCTTTTCACTGTAGTTAAACAGAGCTTCCTCTCAAAGGCAGCAGGTACATCTAACCCTTGCAAGAGTTGTACTTGTCTTTACAGTGTTTTACATTTGCATTCATCACCAGTATTTTTTTAAAAGAAGTATCAGGCGACCCTGAGCCAAAATCCCAAATGTTAAGGCAGTGGGCTTCAATTCCCCAGGACCCCAACCCTCCTGATTGCTTCCCAATCATGAAACCGGGTGTCAAGGGTATTGATGGCCATGTGCTGGGCCCCCTTTATCGTTTCATTACCTGCTTTGTCCCTGAAGACAACTCAGTGTATGACCCTCTTCCCTGACCTCATTCCCACCCCTGGCATGGCTCCCATCAAAACCCATCAAAATCTCTTCATTTGGATTTTCATGAATATGTAGAGGGCCCATGGATCATGGACATCATGGACTAAGTACCCCCCGTAAATCATAGACCAAATTCTGTACAGGGACCTCAAAAAGGTCCATGACCCACAGAAACTTAAGAGCCCACGGAGCTTGTGGCATTAGATGGAAAGTGATGAATGACAAAGACCAAAGGGAGAGCAAGCAGACTGGAGGCTGGGGTGCGGGGAAGGCAGAACAAGGTGGCCAAAAAATGAGGGCAATGCTGCCTCTGTCACTGGGCCATCCCCCCGCCCCGTGTCTCCCCATCTCCAGTGCCCACAACCTCGCCCCATGCCGACCGGCTGCCACTGACGCCCCCTCTTTGGCGCCCCCCAGGCTCGGAGGATTACCGCAGCAGGTTCAGCAGCGAGTGCTTCATGGACCTCGTGTGCCCGGACAGGTGCCGCTGCGAGGGCACCATCGTGGACTGCTCCAACCAGAAGCTGGCCCGTGTCCCAAGCCACCTCCCCGAATACGTCACCGACCTGTGAGTGCTGCCCAGGCGGGAGCCCCTGCACGTCCCCACGCCCAGTCTCCCTCAGCCCGCCAGGGTGGGTGTGGGCTCCTAGAGGTGGCCCCCTCCCAGGTCAGTCACCTGGGTGTTCCTTGGTATCCCGTGCGTCCCGGGACGAGGGCATACTCCCCCAGGCATCCGCGGGGGACAGCTTGCTCACAAATAAAGACAGCTCATTCATTCTATTGATACAAAGATTTTCTGAACACCCGCTGTGAGCCAGGCACTGTGCCAGGCCCACCCTTTTCCATGGTGAACTAAGCAGACCACCCCTCCTAGCCCCTAGGAAGCTTACAACATAACCAGAAAGATGGATAGTGCATAAATGATTGTCCTAAAGTGAAAAAACAGCTAGAACGATCAGGTATATGTGAGCCTCTGGTTATCCATGCTAATAAAGAGGCATGTTGGTTTATCCAGAAGTGGCAGAGCTCAGAGTTACAGCATGGGGTGGGGGGCAGGGGTGACGGATCTGGGCCTGACTCCTGTCGTCTCCAGTTTTCCTGAGGTTGGGCAAGTTGCTTCTCAGATCTGAGCATCAGATTCTGAGCTATAGAATAGAGGTGTTAATACCTACCTTCTACGGGGGTTACAAAGATTAGGTAAGAGGATGCGAGCACAGACTTTATCTTGAATCCTGGCATGGACTAAGCCCTGCATAAATGACGGTGGTCTTTATTTATTATTATTATTATTATTATTATTATCTTTGACTCTCTCCTGCTCTCCCCGAGCTTACATGAATGTTGGGCGTGGAGTCCCTGAGCTGCCCTTAGCAGAGGGATGTGGTCAGGAAAGACCTGAGTGGCTTGGAGAGTTGGAAGAACCTGGGGAAACCTCCCTGGGGGTTTAAGTGGTCATTGGTACCCCTACAAAATGAAGGCAAATCATTGGCACTTGACTGTTAAGTGCTGAGCGTTCAAAAAGTTGAATCCGCCTTCGGCAGAGGGTCTTCCTCTCCTTTCTGGCCCCTTCTCACACCCCTCCTCTTGCTGCTGGGCCCCCCATGCTGATGGGGTACACGGAGGGTTTCTATGGTGCTATTGACCTGGACTGAATGAGGTCCAGGTGGCAATTCAGCTGAAGCCATGGGGGGATGGGGGACCAATGGAGGAGGTGCCCCATCCACAGCTCACCCACCACCTCATCTGCTTGCTTCCCATGTAGCCGACTGAACGACAATGAGATATCTGTTCTAGAGGCCACTGGTATCTTCAAGAAGTTGCCCAACCTGCGGAAAATGTAAGTCAGTCTCAGGAATTTGGCAGACCGGAGCAGAACACCGGGGCACGGGCGGCTCCCTCTCCCTCCACTGCAGCCCCTCCCAGTCTCCTCCTGACCCCGCTATGGGCACGTCCTGGGAAGCAAGACACTAAGGCAGGACCATGCAGAGGCAGAGCACGCATTTTGCACCATCCCTGACCCTCACCCCATCCTTGCTCACCCCCATCCTCCACCCCACACCCAGTGTCTACCCCAGTGGGTGGTCGGAGGGACTCAGGTGAGGACCAGCAATGGGACATGGGGATCTAGGGTGCACATCACATCACTTAGTAATTTTTATGAGGTAACAGTCAGAAGGTCTGTTTTTAGATGAACCCTAAAGGCCTCCACATGGTTGAGACACACTGGAGCAGAGACACCACAGCTGCCTCACCTCCTTCATCTGTAAGCACGCTGGTGCACAGCTGGCCTTGCTTCCCCCTCCCCTTCCCTTCCCAGGTGTGCCAGCAGAGGTACCAGCATGGACAGGGGGCTCTTTGCCATCTAATTCCCTTCTCCTTGACCCTGCTCCCCACTCCCACCCCATCCTCCACATGTCCCAGCCCCAGAGTTTGAGTCTGCCTCTGGAACAAAGGAAAACGGTCAAGCCTCATTATTCATAGGCCCTGTATTTGCTGATTCGCTTACTCACTAACATTTATGTGTAATCGCAGAATCAATACGCACAGTGCTTTCATGGTCATTCATATACATAGACAGGGCAGCCAAAAATTTGAGTCCTCCTACATGCATGTCCCCAGCTGAAATCAAACAAGGCCACGTTCTGATTTCTTGTTTCAGCTCCCAGACTGTAAACAAGTGTCCAATCCACAATATATTTAGTGCCACATTTCTTTTTTTGCATGTTTGTGCTTTGTGGGTGATTTCACTGTTTAAAATGGCCCCATAGCATAGCACTGGAGGGCTGTCTAGTGATCCTAAGCACGGGAAGGCTGTGATGTGCCTTACGGAGAAAACACGTGTTCCATGAGCTTTGTTCAGGCAAGAGTTACAGTGCTGTTGGCTGTGAGTGCAATGTAAATAAATCAACAATATATATTCAGTAAGATGTCTTTAAACAGAAACATGCATCAAACAAGGTTAGGTATTGATCGGTTAATGAAAATGGTGACCAGAGGCTCCCCTAGGAGCAGTGGTTCAGCATTCACTAATTCATCTTGCCCAGTGACTTTGTAGAGCTTAACCACGATGAATAATGAGAATTAATCGTAACCCTTATTTTACTTTGCTCTCCACTCTTCCACCCATCAGTCCCTTGCAGGCAAGAAGGAGAGAGACCTTCCCCTGCCCTGGGCAGCATCTGGATCGCATCAGTGCCATTCCCTCCCTGCCCACAGTTGCCACCTTGGCCACGGCCTCAGGGACACCTCTGTAACTGAGAGCAGTGGAGAGCACTGTACCTGAGGGGGCAGCAGAGGGAGGACACACGTGGGTCCTGGTGAGGTTCATGGCTGTCCGAGTGGTCAAGCCCACCTCTAGCTTCAGGAACCCAGCACAGACATCACCCATCACCTGCCTTTTAAATTCAACCCCCGAAAATGCTTACTTTTTCTAACCTCAAAACAAATTTACATGCACATGGAGATAAGGCATGTATTAAAACAAGTAAAGCTGGCCAAGCGCATATTTGCCCAGTAAACAGGATCATGGAAGTCTTTGCTTCCATGAAGAAATATGCACTCTCCCATTTTAGGTGAAACTCAAGCACTCTGAGTCTTTCATCTTCCTAGTTTTGACAGGGACCTGAGTACGAAGAACTGTTTCTGTACACCAACAAAAACAACAGCACAAATGCAATGATGAGTCGCAGCCAACTCCCAGCCTCAGCATCCAAGCCACAAAAGGGAGTGGTGCGGACTGTGGCAAAATGTAGGCCGAGTCCTCACGAAAAGGGGCAGATGTCACTAAGTTCCTCCCAGCATCTGCCATGCTGGAAGGAACGTCAGAGCTGTCAAATATTCCCTTCACGGGAGCAGCTGGAAATCCAGGTATGGCGGAAGAACAGGCAGGCCGGCATTTGTTCTGAGTTCAGCTCTGCCCCACGCCTGCTGTGTGACCCTAGGAACGCCCTTAGCCTTTCTGGGCCTTTCATAATAGAAACAAGTCCACCTTCCTTGTAAGGTGTGATGAGGACCAGAAGTAAGTATAAGAGATAAGGGGAAAGACACGGCCTCTGTCCATGGGACCGCAGTGAGAAGGTGCTGGAAGACAGAAAGAGGACATCTGGGTCAAGTGACCCAGAGCAGGTGGCTAGACATTGAAAACAGGAGTTACAAACTCAAATGCCTTCAGGACCCCCTGTGGAAAGGGAATGGGTGCAAGGCAGCGATAATAATAATGGCGACAAACAGTTACTAAACACTTTACTCTGTGCGCCAGACTCCGCTGATATTCAGGCAACTACCCCTCACCAAGAAAAACAAAACAGCTTTGAGATTGCTTCATCTTACAAATGAGGAAGCTGAAACACGGGAAGTAACCTGCGCAAGTTTAAAAGTCAAGCCAGGAGCGGTGACGGTGCAGAGTAGCTGGGGAGCGCACGCACCACCTGAAGGCAGTAAGCGCACGTGTGTGCACCTAAATCCAGGTACACATGGTGCCAGCCAACCAAGCACGTGTCCCAATAGGGCAGACTTTTTAAGTAAACAGTCCTTATTTGCCAGGACCCGTCACCACCCCTACACTCCCATGAGGTGATGGGTCAGCGGGAATTCTGCCCATCAGGGTGGTTAAGGCCAGCAGTGCCTGTGACCGAGGCCGCTCAGCTTCCTCAGGGACTGTGGAGCCAGGGCCCTAAGGTTACAGTCTAGACGGCAGCACCCCGACAGGGCACGGAGGCAGAGGGGAGTGGACACACGGCCAGGAGTTTGGACTCTGCGGTGCCTTTCCAGACTGTTCTGAACCTCTGTGCCCCTTCCTGTCATGTGGGAATAATGAGATTTCATAAGTATCACTAAGGGATGCAAAAAGAGGTGTGAGCTGTTCCCCACAAAGGTTATGAGGACTGTGGTAACTCAAGGTAGCTTTTCAAGTGACCTCCCACTCAGAGTGGGGTCACGGCCTCTCTCGGGCCAACTTTCAGATCACTTCTTACACTGAAGGAGCATCTCAAGCAGAAGCTGAAACCTAGCACCCCTCTAGCCAAAATCAAATCCCAAGGGTGGATTTGGTGGTTGTGGTTGTGTTTTTTTGTTTTTGTTTTTGTTTTTTACCATCTTTATTGGAGTATAATTGCTTTACAATGGTGTGTTAGTTTCTGCTGTATAACAAAGTGAATCAGCTATACCTATACATATATCCCATATCCCCTCCTTCTTGCATCTTCCTCCCACCCTCCCTATCCCACCCCTCTAGGTGGTCACAAAGCACCCAGCTGATGTCCCTGTGCTATGCAACTGCTTCCCACTAGCTATCTATTTTACATTTGGTAGTGTATATAAGTCCATGCCACTCTCTCACTTCGTCCCAGCTTACCCTTCCCCCTCCCCGTGTCCTCAAGTCCATTCTCTACGTCTGCGTCTTTATTCATGTTCTTCAGAACCTTTTTTTTTTTAGATTCCGTATATATGTGTTAGCAGATTGTATTTGTTTTTCTCTTTCTGACTTACTTCACTCTGTATTCTAGGTCCATGATGATTGTGTTTTTAATAAGAAGTAGTTGCCCTCTTTTAAAAATCAGGAGTTTCCACAGAAAAATAAATGCGGATTTCTAGCACCTTTGGGAAAATCAGAGGATCTGTCAAAACTGAGCCCATGTTCCCAAACGGCTCCAGTCGAGTTGAGCTGAGGAACGGCTGCCCCCTAGCTGGGCCACGTGCTCTCCTGATCACTGCCGTCCCCACTGGGCTTGCTTCCAATTTTAGGTCACCTGCCTGGACACTGTGGACGTTTGAGCTTGTAACCCCAGCTCGAAGTAGAATTTCCACCTCAGGGGGCCGGAGAGGTCCATAAGGGAGGTAGACAGGACCTCCCCGACCTGACAGGGTGCCAGTGTGCTGCTCAATCATGACCCAGTATCCTCGGCTTCCAGAAAACTCCGCTTAGCTCTCTCCCAACTGTATTTCCATTGAGGACTGGACTTTTAAACAGGATTACAGATGGTTCTCTGTTGCCAGAGTTTATGTATGGGCTGTCCTACAAACCTGAAGAGACAGAGACCTAGAAGAAGCCCAGGCTCGCCTCTTCAGACTCAGGCTTTCCAGAGATGAATCCCCCAGCCTCCAGGGGCCTCGGTGTTTCTTGGGAACAATAAGAACAGTTTCTGAAAGATACACCCAGCAGTGTGCCGAGGCGGCGTGGCCGAGCACTGGGTTTGTCCTGCCGTGGACCGCTCTGAGCCAGCCCTGGCCTAGGGTGGGCGTTTCTGAGGCTGGGTCCTTTCAGATGTGAGATTCCCATCCTCACTGGAGTCAAAGCCATGATGCAGCAGTAATCCTTCAGGTGGGTCTGCAGAGACAAAAATGGAGAGAGGCTCAGTGCCCTTAGTTTTGCGTTTGGAGGTTTCCTGAGATCTGGGGGCATCGGCAGGAAGATACTGCTCTGAGAATAAGACGGAGCTCTTACAAAACCCTGAGGCACTGGTTTTGTGTCTGGAGAGCTGCTGTCTCTCTGTCCTCCGACCCAAGCTGCCTGCAGTTTTGTGTGGTGCTTTGATGGACGGAGAGAGATCAGCAGCCTGGTCTTCTGGAAAATTCTATCCCCTTTTTTCACTCTCCTTATGTTTTCCATTCTCCCAGCCCGAGGAAATCCAGTTCGCAAACCTTACTGTAATGTGATGTTAATTCTGCTCGTTTAAAGAAAAAGATGTCAGGAAATGGGAACCTCCCACTTCTTATAGCTGCTATAACTCATCTTCATTGCCCACCCCATGTACTTCAGTTCCCCAAGAAGCCTAACTCTTTTGAGCTGGAGGAGAAGCTCCAGCATTTGGATGAGTTATAGCTGCTGGGAAAGTCTTTCTCTCTCCTCCCATGTCGAACTTGGGGGTAATTTGCAGTCTCCCCTGTGTATTGCCTTCATTTCCGAGTTATCGTGGACCAGGGCTACCAGGATTTATAAGATGACCGGCTGAGTTGCAAGAGAGTCAGGCAGGGAGCAGAAATCCAGTTTGAGAATCTCCCAGCTCTGTCAGATCTCAGGGGAGGGATTCTGAGGGGTATTTGCACCTGTTTTCTCAGTAGGATGGAGGAGGGAGGCGAGGAAGGCCGTGACCAGGAGCACAGAGGGAGCAGACAATGCGAGACTGGGAACTGTTTCCTCCACACCTGCCCGCAGGTGTGGGCATTGCCACCCCCGCACACCCAGTCCCTATTTGGGAAGAGGGCAGGCAGGCAACCTGTATCGAGCCCTTGGGTGCCCAGTTGAACTTTACTTGCTCTGAACCATCCCTATAGGAGGCTTCACCCCCAGGGGTGCGTGAGTCAGGCCAGAGCTGCACAAGGAGGGCACTTGAGAGAAGCAGTAGTACCAGGGACTCATGGAGCGCTATGTCCCTTTCAGTGCTCTGTGACCAGGAGCAGTGGCCTCCCCTCCCTGGGCCTCAGTATGTCCAGCAGTACAATGGGCCAGCTGGTCCATCTCTCCTGAGCCCTCAGTTCTAACAAGCTCAGGGTGCTCAGCCAGTTAGCAGCTGTGTCTCCACCTACGGGGCTCCTGTTCACAGAACAAGGCCCCCCAGGATGTTTGCTGGGGAAGCTGCATTCTTCCCTCAGCTTCTGTAACTCCATCACTTTCTGCTCCAGCCCGCCCGCTGGGGCTACCTTTCAGGCCTGAACATCTGGGTGGTCTTTGGAGACCCCCGGCCACTAGCAGCACCTACAGTTCTGCAGGACGTGCTTGCTGCTCAGTTATCCCATCCAGCCTGCCGCGTGGTGGCTGGGGGTCGGAGGGAAGAGCCCGCTCTCAGAGCTCGAGGGCAGTATTGGAAATGGCAGCACCGAGACTTGAAAGGACCGAGCCCACTTAGGAAAACACCACGTTCCAAATCCTGAATTCTGCAGAGCAGTAATAGAAGGGATGGGCATCCACATCGTCAGAGGAACATTCACTTGGGAAAAGCGGTTCACTGGAGGCTTTTCTATGTGCCCAAAAGCATGGTCTCCGATCCCAGTGCTATCGGCTGTGTGACTGTGGGTAGGTTACTGAGTCTCTCTGAACCTCAGTCATCTCATCCGTAAAACAGGACAATGATAAAAATAATGCCCATCTGATGGGCGTTGTTTGGAGGATCTGATGTGATTCTGTTGGTCAAACCCCTCACGTGGTGCCTAGTACATAATAAGTGCACAAACTGTAGTAACTAGAAAGGGTCCATGTATATCAGGGATCTCAGATGGTGAAAGAGTCGAAGGTTCTACAAATGCCTCACCCCGTAGGGAGCAGGCATGTTTTGTATTTTCCTCCAGCTCTCCTCTTGAGAATCACTACTCAGTGAGGGTATCCGTGGAAGAGAGAAAATAAGTTTGAGAACCATTCGAAACCTGCCAGTCCCCGGGGCATTGAAAAGACAATTGTACTGAAAGACTTCAAATGCTACACAGTCTGTTTCACACAGGTAGTCCTCCCATCCACACCCCATGGGGGTGCTGGGCTCCCTGCTTCCTGAGGCACAGGTGCTGAAGACCAAACATCGGGAAGCCCAAGGTGGAGCCTCCACCAGCCAGTCCTCGGGCCAGGGGGCACTTTAGAGTCCCCAGCTGGCTGCAGGTCCCGCCATTCCCTCCCTGCGTCCTGACCTGTTCGTCCCCTCCTTCCAGAAACTTGAGTAACAACAGGATCAAGGAGGTGAGAGAGGGTGCCTTCGACGGAGCGGCCAGCCTGCAGGAGCTGATGCTGACGGGGAACCAGCTGGAAACGGTGCATGGGCGCGTGTTCCGTGGCCTCAGCGGCCTCAAGACCTTGTGAGTTCCCAGGGCCTGGGCCAAGGCCAGAGCGGGGGAGATGGGAGAGCAGGGGCATCAGAGGGGCTGTGAGGGCTGGCGGGCAGCGGACTAGGCCCGGGCGCTGTCCTGGCCTGCTGAATCCTGGAGCCGGAGAGACATTAGACATTTCCAAGCCCTGGATGGGAAAGAACGTAGCATGCTAAGCTCCCCCCAACACACACACACACACACACACACACACACACAGACACTAAAAGACACTAGCCCTAGTGTATACACAGGTGTAGATTCATACCAGAAACAGGCACACACTCACACATGTACACAAACATAGGCGTTACACATGTACGTGAAAATGGCACACAGACACACATGGAACATGTGGATATACACAAACAAGCATGTGCGTATAAGCACACACACACAAGCTGATGTCCACAGCCACATCTTGATTCTTCCCTCTCCTCCCCCAAATATACTTACATACACTAACCACCATACACTATACATATGAACACGTACACACGCATGACACCTGCTTCTACTCTAAATACGGCATCTGCAGCCCAGAATGTGCATACACGTTTGCAGGTGGCCCCAGTGGGGACCCAGGCCCAGCTGTCACAGGACAAACCTCAGCAATGTGACTGGTCTGAGCTTGGATTTGGCAGAAGCATCCCACCACACACACACACGCACACACACCAGTGTGGCACAGTCATAGGAGGGAAAGGATGACACCCGTGCTTGCTCTCCCCACCCCTCCCCCTGCAGGATGCTGAGGAGTAACCTCATCAGCTGTGTGAGCAATGACACCTTTGCTGGCCTGAGTTCAGTGAGGCTGCTGTCCCTCTACGACAATCGGATCACCACCATCACCCCCGGAGCCTTCACCACGCTCGTCTCCCTGTCCACCATGTAAGTCCCCCTGGACCGCACTCGTTCAGGGCTCCTCTCCTGCAGACCTCTCCTCTCACAACACCCTACTATATTTGGCCCAAGGTCATCTATCCATCTGTCAGCTTAAACACTTGGCAGCCTCCCTCCATGTGCCAGGCACCATTTGCTACTGAGGATTCACAGACGTGGACCCTCCTTCCTGGAGCTCACAGCATAGCGAGTTGCCACAGAAGGGAGGTCCACAGTGATATGAGAGCCTAACATAGGCTTTGTCGAGGAACACTGGAGCTATGCTCTGGAAGGTGAGTGGGAGTTGGCTTGTTTGCGAAAGCAGGAAGTGTATTTCTTTCGGCGGGAAGAGCATGTGCAAAGGCCCTGTGCTAGGTTGAAGCAGAGCAGATATGCAGGACTGAGCAAAGTCCAATGTGGTCATAGTACAGAGTGGGCAAGGCTGGGGTGGAGACCAGGGCCAGGCTACAGGACTGCCGTGGGCCATTTTGGTCTTTATCCAAAACACATCAGGAAGCCACAGAAGGTTTTAAGCAGGCCAGTGACACGACGTGACGGGGGTTTTAAATTGATGTCACTGACTGCTTAAACGTGTATCGGAACCAGTTAGAATCTAGCTTTCTGGACGAATATCTCTGCCCACAATATTCATTGTATTGGTAAGGGAGGCTGTTTAGAATAATGGTGAAAGCTTTGGGCTCTAGAGCCAGATTTTCTGGGTCCATATCCTGGCTTTACCTCCTGTTAGCTGTGTGCCTTGGAAGAGTTACTTCATCTCTCTGTGCTTTAATTGTCCCTTCTCATAATCCACCTCGTAGGATTGTCATGAGGACTGAATTTGTTAATATTGGTAAAATGCACAGCAGGGGCCTGAGATATAAAAAGTACTCGGCACATGTTAGCTTTTACGGTTTCTCATAGTATTTCTATGGGGCTCTGTTACCCTTAGTTGGTGGTTCATTTTTCTTTCCCTTCCCTTCTCCAAAGACCCTTGGGAAGACAGAAGAGAAAGGCCATTGCTGCATCTCCTGTTGCTGCCCGTGGTCATGCTCCCATACAGCCACCCCACTGGCGATAAAAGCCAAAGTTACAGAACGTCCTAAAGGCCCCACGTCTAGCCCCTCAGAACCTCCTTGCATTCCAGCCCCACTGACCTCACTGTTCTGCGCACGCCCCAGGCCCACTTCCACCTTAGAACTTTGCACTGGCTGTTCCCACTACCTGGAAAGCCCTCCCCCTGGCTCCCTCCCCTCCTATTATTTGCTCAAATGTCAGTTGCCTCAGCCCCATTCCACCCCTGTGCTATCACCCCCAGTTCTTCCAGCCTTGCTCTTCTAATTTTTTCCATAGCACTGACCATTTCCTAACATACTGTACTTTTTGTTGTTAATTACATATTGTCTGCCTCCCATCAGCTGGAGCATACGTTCCAGAAGGATGAAGTACGGGGATATATGACTGTTTTGTTCACTCCTCTATCCTCAGTGCCTACACCTGAGCCTGGCACTAAGCCTATTATATAATGGTTGAATAAGTGGATGAGTTGAATGAATGAGTGACATGAAGATAGAGGACAGTGGGTTAGAACTAGCATGAGTGGGTTGGTTGATCTCAGCCCACTTCTCACCCCTCCTGGATGCCTCTGCACTGGGAATCCAAAGACACGAAAGGTGCCAAGAGGGCTAGCGTCACAAAGCATGAAGGGAACCAGCTCCGACAGGGGAAGGAACGTGCCCACCTTCTCACAGCTACTGAGTGTCAGAGCCAGAATCAACCCCAGGAAGGACTGACTCCCGAGACCTTAATTGCCATGTCAAACCGCAGCCCCTCAAGGGCTCTCCAGCCCTCTTCTGTAACCTCCCTCAGTTTTAAATTCCTCATTTGTGAGATGAGAATACTGTCCCCTCCTTCCTAGGGTTGCTGTGACAAGTCTGAATGAGAAAATGGATTTATAAAGTGCTCAGCCTAGTTCCTGTCCTCTAGAAAACCCTCAGAAAGTGATAGCTGCCCTCATCCCTCCACCTGTCCCATCACTGCATCTGACAGATTCGTATAAAGTGCCTATGCCGATGTCCTGCTAGCTCCTGGAGACACAGAGCAGGACAGACAGACCTGGTCCCTCCCCTCCGGGAATTGAGAGTCCAAGGAGGGAGGGGTTCCCAGCTCGGATGGATACTGTGGAGGAAATGAAGGGGAATGAGGGGGGAGAACGGGACAGGGCAGAACTTTTCATTTCCCTTGAGATGAGGGGCTTCTTTGAGGAGGGGTCATTTAAGCTGAGGGCTGAAGGAAGAGGAGGGGCCACCCAGGCACACCGTAGAGCGGGAGGAGCAGCACACGTGAAGGCTCTAGGTGTAAGAAAATCTCTGCGGAGGAATTGAGGCAGTTCACACAGCTGGAGCTCATCAAACAAAGGAGAGACGGATGGCGACTGTATCCATCCGCGGAGGTCTGGAATGAGACCCTTGCAAAGACTGCCTCCGCGTTTTAGAAGAGAGTGCCTTCCTTTTCCCAGACCTTCTACCTCCTTCGTCCTTTCTCCTTCCCCTGAACCGGAAGCAGACCTGCCTGGAGAGCCAGGCCCTAGGCTTGCAGACCTGGATCCCAGGACCGGCTCCCACGGGACAAGGGTAGAGGCTAACCATTCAGAGAGGGCCCTTCTCTCCTCCCAGAAACCTCCTGTCCAACCCCTTCAACTGCAACTGCCACCTGGCCTGGCTCGGCAAGTGGTTGAGGAAGAGGCGAATCGTAAGTGGGAACCCCCGGTGCCAGAAGCCCTTCTTCCTCAAGGAGATTCCCATCCAGGACGTGGCCATCCAGGACTTCACCTGTGAAGGTAAGAAGGCTGGGGGCGGGGCAGGGGAGCAACACCTGGGAAGACAAGGACGCTACAAGAGAAAAGAGGTGCAGGCAGGCGGTAACTGCAGGTCAGGACCCCCCGAGATCTGATTCTCCTCTGCCCTCAGCATGCAGCCCGAGCTCTGGAGGGCTCTGCAGGCCTGCTTCTAGCCCACATGACTCTGTCGTGCAAATTAAGAACAGGTGCCTCTTTCTACAGACATTTGACCTCCATCAGTCAGAAATCTGTCGTAATATACTGCTTTTGTTAAAACGAGGTACTTTACAGCCATCTGTGAAGACACTGTTGTACCAAATATCTTAATCTGCCGTATCCACAGTGAGGTTGGCGCCCATTAGATGGTGGGGCACCCTTGTGCAGTACGCTACCTACACAACTGTACATGGGAGCCCTGGGCCGAAGTTTTCCTGCCTGCATCATCATGAGGCTGAGAGTATGTGCTCATGAGAAACAGACTTCAGGATGAGCTTCTGGGAAATTCCTGTCACTGGCTAGGCAGTACGAATACCTGAAGATTCAAGGCTTTGAGTGTCAGGATTCCAGAGGACATTATTTGTTTGCATAAATTCAAGCCAGCACAATTTTTACTTGGTCAACTTTAGGTTATCTAGAGACGGATGAACTGGTTTGTAGATTAACTGAGGTTAAGGTATAATGGGGGCTTGGGGACACATTGACCACGCCAGAGGGATTGTATAGTGGGAGGTGTGGAGAGAGGGAGGAGAAGGAGGGGAGTAGATAGGGCCCTGCCCCTACCCTGACCGCTCCTTCAGTCAATTTGGCTTATCCAGATCTGGTTAACAGTAACCTCTTCCATATCTAACACCTGGTTAATCAAGTTTTTAGCGTCTTTGTTTTATGTTAAATGTGGTAGAAGATGGGCAGCCCTATTCCCCAACCCAGGTGCATCTTCTTTCCCTTCCAACCACGGATAAGACCAGCAAGCTCCTCATTCCCACTTCTGGCTCGAAGCGGAGGGCTTCCCTTTCCTGCAGGCAGCTGGGTCGGGGAATGGGCCTCGCAGCCCTGCGCCATACTCACTCCCCGGCTCTCCACAGGCAACGATGAGAGCAGCTGTCAGCTGGGGCCGCGCTGCCCCGAGCAGTGCACCTGCATGGAGACGGTGGTGCGATGCAGCAACAAGGGGCTCCGCACCCTCCCCAAAGGCATCCCCAAGGACGTGACGGAGCTGTAAGTACCCCCCACCACCACCGACACCCCGTAATCCCGCCACTACGGGCATCCGTCACACTTCACCCCTGCAAGCAAGACAGCCTGGGGATGCCCTACCTGAATGGGTCCCAGCAAGGTGGTGTCAGAGCCTCAGCAGGGGGCAGGCAGCAGCTTGCACGGGGACAGGAAGCTCCCCTCCCCAAGCCTCTGCCTGGCAGGTGACGAGTATCTAGAGTACAAGTGGGAGGGCCGTTGTCTCGTTTCCTCTATCACCCCCAGTCCCCTGCTCTGCGCCGTGCTTTCTAGATTCCCACATAGTCCCTCAGTCTGACACCAGAAACAGCACAGGATAATCGTCAAAACATGGGCCCACAGGCACTATGGCTTAGCAAGCGCTTCTACAAATAGGATCCTGTTCTACCTTAAAAACACCCATTTTACAGATGAGACCTTAGTTCTGGGTTCTGCTCACTCTTCACCCAGGAGCCTTCTTATTCCATAGCCCAAGCTCCTGACACTAACTCCTCAGGGGTTCCTCCTGCCCCAGAAGCTCCCAGTTAAATGAAAGAGAGGCCCTTCTCTTCCTGAAGGGCTCTTACTCTTGTGGATAAAACGTTATTTCTGCCCCCGGGGAAGCTCAAAGAGTCCCACAGGCAGGGCAGCCTCTCGAGAATGTCCCAGGAGCTGCGCAGCTGCGGCCGGGTAAGCGCCACGCACTGGCACAGGCGTGCGAGCCACGTTCAGTCTCCCGTTCATTCACTCAACACATATTTGTTGGGTGCCGCTTGCGTCAGGCACTCTGCTAACACTGGAGAGACAGCGGTACACAAAACAGGCATGACCCCTCCACGCGTGGGCTCACGGTTTCGTGGGGGAGGTTGACATTCACTCAGTCATCTCAGAGGCACATGTGACATGACAGCCGTGAAAAGCGCTACAAAGAAGAGGAATCAAGGTTGCTATGACATCCGAAAGTAGGGAGATTTGACTTCGTTGTGAAGATTGGAGAAAGCTGCTCTGGGGAGGGTGGCGGGGGTGGAGCTGGAATCTAAAGGGCAAGGAGCGGATGATGGGAAGGGAGGGAGGTTGCCCGAGCTGAGGCCCTGTGCTGGGAGGGGGCAGAGCCAGGAGGGGGGCTGGCGGAAACCCAGAGGGCCCGGCCGGGGCACGCCACCCCCCACCTCTCACTCTGGCCCTCTCTGCCCGGACCCCAGGCACACCCCCTCCCCTGGGCCAGCTTAGCACACGCCCTCTGGCTCTGCCAGTGCTTCATGGGGTGGAAGCTGACCACGCTCTGGTCTAGAATGGCTGAGAGGTTCCTGGGTATGTGTTACAGCTCCCGGCGTCTCCTGACACTCAGCGAGGCTGTAACAAGGGCTGCCAACCCAAGTGAAAGAAGGAAAAGTCGGGATAGTCACTAAAAAGTCTGTCAGCCCTGGGTTTGGGCTGGGGCCGTCCCCTCAGAGATGTGCACGAGCAGCAGTGTGATGAGCTCCACGCCCTTTCCCGGCTGGGCTGGGCTTGGGGTGGGGACTGCAGGAAATGACCCAGGTACATGCCTCCTTCCTGGGCTAATTGAGTGCCAAGTGTCACGTGTCAAAGAGAAGACAATGCCGTGAAAACAGGCCCTCGGACGCTTTTCCCCAAAGCTCACGAAACACAGATTGAAATGACAAAGATAATTGGCCGTAATTATAAGGTAAACTTCAGGGCTTTGGGAGGAGACCTGATTTCCTGCTTTGGAAATGATGGTGCTTCCCTGTGCCAGACGTGGGTTCCAGAGCTCGCCAAAGAGGGCAGCCCTCACCCCTGTTCCCAAACCACCTCCTGGAGGGGAGAGGGAGTATCTGGGGAGGGCAGAGGGAGGCAAGAAAAGAGACGCCAGAGAAAGTGAAAGCTGGCAGGCCCAGAAAACTGGGGCTTGGAGGTCGTTTGTTCAGGGACACTGGCTGAGTCCAGATTCAGTGTTTCCAGCACTGGCTTTCCAGCTCCCTTGGCTTCATTAGTTATCTCGGGCAGAGCTGCCAACTTACAAAACAAAATTAAGTTTAATTCGCTGAGAAGGGGTGGGGAGATGTGTGTGTGCATGTGTGTGTATGTATGAGTGTATCTGTGCATGTAAACAGATGAAATGCAGGCTCAGAGAGGTTAAGTATATACATATGTATATATATATTCAAACTGTATTGAATAATTCAAAGGTATTAGAGCCAGGCACCACTCCAAGGCTTTCCACAGAAAGTCCCATCTAATCTTCATAATCACTTCAAGGTGGTGATTATTAGCAACCTCATTTTACAGATGAGGAAACAGAAGCTCAGAGAGGGTAATTAATTTGCCCAAGGTCACACAGCTATTAGCTAGTGGAACCTGAATATGAGGCTCAGCTGCCTGACTCCAGAGTTGCCCGTGCATCACCCCAGGCCCCCAGTCGGACTCCTGGCTTGGAGTTGGGGCTCCTGGAAGGTGGCTGCTCTCCGCCTCCTTCACCATTCAGTAGGTCGAAGAATTCTTTGTGCGGCCCTTGTCAGCACCACAAAGCTCGAAACAGAAATGGGGAACAATCCATTCAACGCTCCGTGTGGATTTGCACGTGAGGCAGCTGTGTCCTCGTGTGCTTGCGCTGGGGCTGAAACAGAGCATTTAAATGCAGATCAACACAAAGGTTGACCTGCTGGAAATGCTCTAGTAGTTCTAAGGCTGGCAGGGCAAGAGTGCAGTCTTCTGAAAGGGTCCCTCCGGGGCCTGGGCTGCAGGCTAGAGGCAACGTTGGAGTTCAGAGTGTTCATGAAGGGCTTCCTACAAAGAGCGCTTTCTCACTCAGCCGCGTCTGCATTTCTGAAGTGAAACCTTTTGATCCCGCATCTTCTGAGCCTCGATGCCAGGTCGCCAGGGACATTCTGCACTTAAAACAGCTCCCTCGCAGCTCCCACTTGGCTCCGCAGTGCCAAATGCAACAGCATCTGGAGAGTTCTGGGGTCTTCATCACACAGACGATGTTTCTTGAGCATCTACTGTTGCCCGCTAGTGTACAAGGATGCTCTAGTGAGCAAAACAGACATGGTTCTGCCCCATCATCACAAATTCACATAAAGGATGTCCCCAGTGGGTGCGGGGGATGGTATCAGGGAAGCGATGCTCAAGCAGAGGCCTGAGCATCTATGTGAGGTAACTAGACAGGGAGGGAGAAGAGGAACCAGCGGGGGCAAAGACCTGCCCCCGTACCAAGCGGAACATGGGGCGTTCGAGGAGGGGTAAGGTCACTGGAGGTGGAACCAGAGGTCAAGGCAGAGTTTGCTGTAAGGTGAACCAGAGAGGCAGGCAGGGACTGCAAGGGTTAATTTCGTGTGTCAACTCCACCACGCTGTGGTGCCCAGTGGTTTGGGCAAACATGAGCTAGATGTTGCCGTGAAGTTACTTTGTAGATGCATCAACATCTACAGTCAGTTGGCTTTTGAAGGAAAGGAGATCGCCCTTTCTAATGTGGAGGTGGGCCTCATAAAATCCGTTGAAGACCTTAAGAACAAAAAGCTGAGGTTTCCTGGAAAAGAGGGAATTCTGCCTCCTGACTGTAACATAAAAGTCCTGCTTGAATTTCAAGTCTGCCTGCCTGACCTTCCTTAGAATAAATTCTCTCTCCCCCTCCCCCTCCCCTCCCCTCCCCCTCCCCTCC